AGCACGCTTGTGGACCCAAGCCTACTGCAAAATCTGGAGAGACTGAAGAATTTTCTTCGCAAGCACGGGCGATGTATCCGACAAAAGGAAAAGAAAGGCCGTGTAGCGGAGCCCGAAGCGGGAAGCTTTGTCGAGCTTTGTGAGTGTGGATTCCAGCAGGGACTTGTCTTTATTGCGGTATGTCCCCTTAGCAGATGGTTTTCCGGAATCAGCAGAGATTTTGTTTTTGGCTGTGTCTGGAAGGTCTGGAACTGACAAGAAATTCTTGAAATCTTCCGGCGGGAAATGATAACATGCTGTCACTTGGTTAGGAAGGGCACACCACTGCTTTGACTTAGCAAGAGACTTGAAGATTTCTACACATGAGCGGTCGAGCAGGAGTTCAGGAAAAATAGGTCCCATAGACTCCATTCAAGCCGTATGGCATTTGAACAAGCCGTGGCTAGCGTCCTCTTCGAGCGGAATGGCTGATGGCAGGCCGAGCACTTGAATCATGTCCTGCTGAAGGAGCTGAAGGTGGCCTTCAAACAGAGCGAGGGTGTCGACAGAGCCAACTTCATCCTCATCCGAAGAAAATGCTGGTTGTGCAGTTGGAGACAGAGCCGTAACTCGCTCCAAGGCGCGGGTGCCCTCATTGAAGACGGCCCGCTCTGACGGCTCAGAAACGCCCTGCTGTTGCGAGTCCGGTGTAAAACCCTGTCCCGTGTCATATTGACTTGCAGCCGAAGGAGGTGGAAGGGTCTGGTCTGCCAGGAACGGGTCCGGAGCGGTGGGGGCTGGTGGTGGTCTGTCGTCTAGACGACAAGCGATAGAAGTCAGGGCTTCATTAATGGATAGAAAGGCCGACATCCACTGCTCAGAATTAGGCCCCTGATCGAAGCAGTGTCTCTTCTTAGATTTCGAAGAACTCGATGAAGAGGGGGAATGTTTGCATTTTCCGGTAGCGGGTGACCTGACAACGGAGACAGTAGACGAGGCAGTGGGCGGCGGAACACCCAGGGAGCGTTCCCGGTCAAGGTCGGCGGGAACTGTAGAGTTCCGGGCGGAAGGACCAGGAGAGATTAGGTCCGATGACCCTGTGATGCCCAGTTGAAAGCCCGAGCCTTGAATGGGCTTCAGTGGTTTGAAGCCCCGGCGGCGTAAAAGCCCAAGAGGCTCCATGGGGCTCGACAAGAATTGCCAGGCTGCGGGGTATCGTGGCTCGGTGGTGCACCAGGCAGGGTGAGTCCGGGCATTTGTGGGGAGCCCGACCCAGTGGCTTCGATACCTGGGCGTACGCGCAGAAACTGCTGGAGAGGTAGTCTTCGTGGCTGATGATGACCGGCTGGTGTTCTTCGGAGTCGCCAGGGGAGTGCTGGCTGGAACCCCACATGGGTTCCTCTGGGCCATTGGAGGTTGGAAGGCGTGCCGTGCGATGATGGTAAGGCGGGCCCGGAAGATGTCCACTTGGGGTACCCCCTCAGGAGTCTTGGCTGGTTTGCCAGGCCAGCGATTGACCAAAGAGACAGGGTCCTTGCCAGATCCTGGCGGTGTCCCTGCTCGGGTCTTCCACAGTCAACCACGGAACTTCCCCATCAGCTCCGTGGGGCCTGGCCAGATCCTGGCTGGAACCCCCTGGCCGACGGCGAGGCCTTTTCCTCGTCTTAGTAGCCGGAGAAGACAGGGGAGTATGACAGATCCTGACAGCGACCCCCTGAAATCAACCGACTAAGGCCTATAATTAACCAGTAAGGTAGACACAGGCATAGCTGAGTAGAACCTCACAGTACCGACAGTAAACACCTGCAGGGTGTACAAAAGAAAAACAGAAGAAAACACCAAAAAATATACAAGAGAAAATACTCTTAACCAACAAACAGGTAAAAATTCAAAAAGGTGATCAAATTGACTGCACTACGCATGATCAAATCCTTTGGGAAATTTGCATTTGTAGTGACTGTTTGGGTAGGTAGAGCGCAGTAGACTTAGTGGATCCGAATCTGGGCCAGCAGAATCTTCTAAACAGCAGAAAGGTAGATATGTCATATATCCAGCCAAACAATAAGTTTTTACTTTTCAAGTCATTGCAAAACAGTCAAGTGCACCCAAAATATTTCGTTATCGCAGGTTTAGACTTAATGAGATTAACCGAGAAAAACTGTCGTATGTGTTTCGTGAAAGACTATCTGTGATTGGTTGATTGACATATTCTCTCTGATACTGGCCAACCAATTGACATCAGAGAAACGCATAAATGTGTGTGACCAAACTCGGGAACCCAGACTTTGCACTGAAGGAAACCTAGTAAATGTTAGTCGTTTAATAGGGAACCAGACTTACCATTCGTCTCGCAAAAATCGAACTCCCATGTACTCGCGAGATCGTTTTCGTGTGTAAATGGAATTGCCAAAATTGCTCATTAACGGAGGGGCTGCACGCTGACTGACTACAATGAAGAATGCTGGACTCCACACATGATGAAAAACAGTTCAGTCCTTGATGGTGCAAAAATATGCTGCAACAGGGACGAAGACCATGTCGAATAAGGACCGGGCTCGAGATGAAATGGCAAGGGTGTGATGACCGTCACACACACAGGAACTTGATGATCCCACAAACTGGAACTGGATTTAGTTCACAAACTCTCTCTTCCGGAACAAGATTCAGCTCAGTACTTCACTTGGTCTGGACAAACTTTTCTTACAAGTGTCGCTTCACAGACGACTCACCACCACAGGTTGAAATGGTGCAGAAGTCAACAAGTCAAAGACTTCTCACAGTAGGCATACAGTAGAATTGCCTTCCAAAATCTCTCTTGTGGAATGTGTCTCTCTCTCTGTCTTTCCCAGTTTTTATAGTCTACAATTCTCCTAGAAATTTCTTCTCATTACTTAAGTTTCTTAAAATACATGTAGACTTTTAGCATAACTTAATCTAACAAGAAACCTCCAGACTATATGCTAGACCAATGGAAATATTGTCAACTCAAAAGAAATTTCCCCGCGTACAATGAGAATATTCATGACTACTCATTCACTGTAGTCTGGAGTCAAACGCGGGTCACACACAGAATCATGTGCAGTACCATTACATGATCTGCCACACGCATAGACTGTGTGTGTAAACATAATAGTACTTGTACATGTACTCATACATACTCGTACTATGAACGGGTACTTGTACCTGAAAACCAGTACTTGTACTTTGTTGGCAAAGTACTCTGACTTTTATTTACTCAGACATCTGAGCAATCAGTAGTACTCTATACTTGGAAAAAAGTACTCAACTACAACACTGTCAGACACTGTGTGCCACAGGCTATTGTAGGTGGCTGTAAGGTTTACAGAAACTGTGCCCAACTATGAGTAGGTCTGAAAATATCATCTCGATAGACTGCTTCAAAAATACTTAGTCCACAGTGGACCTGCCACATCTGAAACCTGCCTGCTCTGGTGGTAACTGTGGCTCGCTCAAAGGCTCTAAGCAACTGTGGATCATGTGCTCCAAGAAGAACACTTATGAACTTATATCTTTTGGTTTCATATTACACCTAATATTTTGCTACAAAACTCTTTTATTTTTAGCCCATTTGACATAAAAGGTGAAAGATTACATAGCCACAAGTTTGGAGGTACATGTAATTGTAAGAACATTGTGTAGCTGTGCGTCACAAATATTTTTAAAGTAAATCTATAACATATTTCCATGAAGCACTGCTTGCTTTTGTGCTCTTTTTATCCACTTCGTGCCGGGGCATTTTTCAACGTTGATGATGCTCGGCCAGCATGACTATCATTTTGTCCGTTTTCAAAACCCTTCAAAAATTCGTCATTCCATTTAACGGTCGTTTGTAGCCGCACGAAGTAATCTTTAGGCACTACTCTAAGTTGACAGGTGATCTTCATTGACACCCGAGTATTTCAGCCAGGCCAGCAACCTTGTAAACAGAGCCCAGATTGTGCGGTGTTATACAACTGTCTTTTGTTCACGAACCTGGCTCAATGCACTGCTGACCTCTTTTCAATAGGGGCCAGATTAGCGTGCAGCGGTGCTGTGCGGCTCATCGCTACAGTGGTGGAGCGCTTTTGTCCCCGGTGGTAATCCGCTTGCTCTCAATGCCCCAAACCCTGGTATACGGTTTCAAAACAACGCTAGATTATCACCACTTTTGAGAGTGAAAAATGCCAGTAATGCCCAGCAGCCTGGTCTTTTGTTCGGAGTACGGTCTTTTGTTACAGGGCCCTGTTTCCTTTGTCCGATTTCGGAGACCCCGGCCACACATATAAACCATAAGG